GTGACCTAAAAAAAGCTTGATTCCATAAGTTAGAAACTTTGTGTGGGGAAAGTAAGAGGAGACCTTATCCAAGATTTCATCGAACCAAATCGTGATCCTCAATTGTGAGGACTCCTGGACTGTTGGAGCCATTTCGGAAGCTTCTAGGTTGAAATGTTCTAGAAGCTTGGAAGGGTTCGGCGGTCACTTCAAGACCTATCTCTAGTGAATGGAGCTCGTTCTTCGTGTGCCGAGGCTCTTGAAAAATAAGGCTAGACGAGGTGTCGTTGAGGGTATCTTTGTGTTTCCTCCTCTCAGTTGCACTAGTTTCAACCACACGACCAAAATACAGTTTCCTATTTAACACTTGATGGTTCGGGAAGCACAACTCAAGATCTTGGTGAGCTCATGCCGGTACGATTATGATTCTTGCACTACCAAACGATGCTATCTGTACTCGTTATATTTCTATGAACTGTCATGTTGACTTCAGGGATGGAAATCTTTCTTGCTCAACAACTATGCTGACAAGAACAGCATTTCATATACAATCACTTGCCATTTTCAGTATAGTGGACTAAATAATTAGTGATTGCATGATGTAGGCCTGCCTGCAGATAGATACCCCCACCCAGCTCACCAAGATGACCATCCACAGTAAATACGTCTCTGTTTTCACCAAGATCATTTTCTAACAAGCACATAATTTTTCTTCAACACTTTGTACATTGCAAAAAAAAAAAAATTTACTCACAAGGTCTAGCTTAAATCTGTACTGTACATCACTGCTATACACTAGTACAAGGATCTGCTCTCTGTGTGTCATCATTACACTAGAGGGTCAGAGCCAACTGATTAACGGCGCGTCTGCGAAGGAGGGGGCATGAGGGATCTGAGGTAAGCTTTGGGCAGCGCCGCCAGCTTCTTGGCCTTGGGAACATAGGCCCGCTTGCTGAAGTTGTCGTAGCCGTTGGCCTCGATCTCGTCCAGGATCTGACGGTACAGAAGCAGAGATGCCCACACCTGCATGCACAAATTACATGTTAATCTTTGATGGAATTTCTGCGAGGTGATTGAAGAAGAAAGTGTCATGCGTAAGTGTCCGTCGCACTTACCGGCCATCGGCTCTCCTGGTTGAGCTCGGCGGCGCCTTGCTCGGCCTGCTGGAAGTAGGCCCTGGCCCTCGCGATCTGGCCCTTCATGAAGCTCCTCCACTCGTCGGTGACGCGGCCGGCGAAGATGTCCGCCTCGGAGATGCCGGCCGTGGCCAGCTCGTTCTGCGGCAGGTAGATCCTGCCCCTCCTCGCACTGTGCAACAATGGCGGCGTCAGAGATGAGCGGGCAGCGGCAAGAGCAGGTGAATTCAGAAAGCGAGGTATATATACAACTGAACTGACACTTACTCCTCGCCGACGTCCCTGAGGATGTTGGTGAGCTGGTTGGCGACGCCGAGGGCGAGCGCGCCGGCGTACACCGTCTCGACGTCCGCCTGGGAGCGCGGGGAGACGCCCATGACGGGGACGGTCATGAGCCCGACGGTGCCGGCCACGCGGTAGCAGTAGAGGTAGAGCTCGTCGAAGGTGGCGTAGCGGGACTTGGCGAGGTCCATGCGCATGCCCTGGACCATGTCCCGGAACGGCCGCTCGTCGACGGCCGGGAAGGCGGCCACGGCGTCGGCCAGCGCCGCGTCCAGCATGTCGTAGGGCCGGCCGGCGAAGACGCCGTCGAGGCGCGACTCCCAGCGGTCCAGCGCCAGCGCCGACGTGTGCGCCGCGTTCGGGCCGTCCACCAGCTCGTCCGTCCTCCGGCACCACACTGCGCCATGCATCCAAGAAGTTAGTAACCACATCTGTGACCTCCTGCTGTTGCGTTGCGTCCACCAACGTGGAAGTTAGCTAGTGGCAGCATGTCGCGATCGACGGGGGGCCTTACCGTATATCGCCCAGATCGCCCGCCGTCTCTCCGGCGTCATGAGCTGCGTGGCCAGGTAGAAGGTCTTGGCGTACTCCTTGCACACCGCGCCGCAGCGCGCGAAGGCCGCGTCCAGCACGCCGGCGTCGCGCCCGGCGAGCCGCGCCTTCCTCGGCGTGGTCGAGGCCGCGAGCGCCGCCTGCTTGAGCACGACCTGGCGCACGCTCTCCTCGTGCGACACGGTCGCCGGCGCCGCGACACAGTCCATGCTCCATGGCGCGGCCGCCTCGAGGCAGACAGCGGGGTGGGACGAGCCCGCGGCGCGCGCTGCCACAGAAGCAGCAGCTCGCTTCCCGTGGTCGCCGGCGAGGAACACCACCGTCCTCGGTGCGCCCATGAACCGGTGCTGGGCAGCGCGCGCGGGCGAGGTCACCGCGCGGCCGGTGGAGAGCATGGCTGGAAAAGCTAGAACGATCCCGGATCGATGTTGGTCACTGTGTTGTGTGCGCGCGTTTCGGTGGCTTGCTACTCCTTGGTCCTGGGTAGCGGCCTTTTTGTAACGTCGAGCCGTGTGGGTGGGTGTGGCCGAGCGGCGAGCGGCCACGTGTCGGCTGGATCAGCATATGGATATGGGCACCCGCCCACTTTTCTCCAGTGCGCGCGCGAACTGACCCGCGTGTCGGTTGGATTGGACGCCAGGACGCGACGCCACTGGCTGCACTGCACGCAGGCCGGATGGACGGATATTCTGTTGCCAACAAACAATCAATCGAGCAAGCTTGAGGCAGGCGGAGATGGGCCGACACGATCGATGGATGTAGGAATTTACCGACCATATGATCGACCAGTGGAATAATCCTCCATGGATCGCACAGATCCACACACGCAGATCTATGCATGTGAGTATGTTACTGTCAGTTAGTGGAGTAACCACCATCCATATGAGTGTCACACCGGCCAGGCCATTGACCAGCACCGAACGAACGAACGATTCGATGGTGACCAGACCACCACCGACCAGAGCCAGAGGTAGAGCCAGAGGCGAGGACGTGGATCATGGATGCATGCATCTGCCCCCGTCGCCTCGCCGTCCCACGTCCAGCGCGGCCACATGCCGGCAGGGGGCGGTGACCATCGAGCCGGGCTGACAGACACGTGGACGCTGGAACGGAGACAAGGAGCACCTGGTGGGGGCGGGGTGCACCATGCATGATTGAGCATATCCTGTCCGCTCTCGTGGCTTGTTGTTGTCTTCTTTTTATTTTTTGCTGTAGCGATCTCGGACGCCGGCCGGGTGTGCGTGCTGGAGGCGGCTCCTCTACCGTGCCCCTGAGCACGGCACGTCTGCCGTGCCTTCTTCGACGCTCGCGGATGCATTGATATGAAATTTAGTAACAACTAATCAGCTCAGCCAACTGTTAGATGTACACACGCCTGAACTAATTAACTATGCTCTTGTCTTGAAAAAAATTATGCTCAGCCAACAGTTAACTACAATCTGTTTGTAAATATAAGACAGAGATTTCAATGCAGACTACATACAAATGTATATAAACATATTTTTAAGTATAGATTCACTCATTTTGCTTCGTATATAGTCTATATTGGAATATTTAAAAAGACTTATAGTATTTAGGAACTGAGGGAGTATAATTAATACATGACCAATACTATAAAATAAAAATGATCTAGGCATGCACTGGGCCCTTAGCGAGGATCGCCACGCTGGATCCCTCCGTGGTCAAGAACCGTTCTAAATCCCTTTTCGGCCTCCATCATCTTCATCAACGCCCTCATCGAGCAAGGGATTCCTACATCATGTGATGTTTAACTGTAGTTAAGTACGACCAATGAACATGCAATTTTTGTAGGGTTGCAAGCGGACGGCGTCCGCATGTCTACGACCGTCCACGAAGCAAAAATGCACTAATCTTTGTTCCTTTAATAACCGCGTCAGATTAGTTTTGTTATGTTCTTGGACCGTCGCGGACTTGCGGACATCGTCTGCTTACATCTCTACCATGGATGGACGTACCACTGTAGTTGGGCACGGTAGAGATGCAAGCAGACGGTGTCCGCATGTCCGCGATGGTCCATGAACAGAAAGTAAACAAACTCGTTCAATCCAGCCTGACCTGACATTGACCGATGATGATACAGCGTCTTCCCTACCGTCCATTCCCACAGTTAAACTTGATTATCCTTTGCGCATTCGTTTTATACCACCTGAGCTACAAAGCGTCCGTCCTTTTCTCTACTGATTTGCCTGTATACTAGGGTAGGCACAGCACAAGGGATGGATTTCGTTCATTCATCCGGACCATCATCAGAAAAGAAAAGCAAGGACCATACCATTTATAGTCCACCAGTCAAGTTTTGACACGACCCTGCTTCACTCCGGCCGTCCAAAGCATCGAACCAACAAGTCAAGATGAAACAGAGACACTAATCTGCCGCGTGGGCTTCCCCTATTTGACCACGTGCCGCTTTTTCGGTAGCAACAGTCTGTGATCACCGATCATCAAATTCTCAGGCGCCCACCGACTGAACCGTCAAGAGATGAATAAACTTAAGAAGATGATCATCGGCATGTAGAGTGGACACCATATATACACATACAGGCGACATTGCCCGGTTTTGTGGAAACTCCAGTATCCAAGTGGAAATAAATGTGGGTGACAAGGGCTTCTTCATCTATGCACAGAGCCTAGCTAATCAGAGAAGAAACATACGGCGCCTATCAACAAAATGAAATGAATCTGCAGGCCTACTTCTTGTTTGGTGCACTTGTGCCTGTGAATTTGCGATGCTCTTCCCCAATTTCAACAACATAAGTATGAAGGAAACCCTCTCCCATACCTCTAGGGGGTAACCGGCAACCAGTGCAGCGCACAAGCTTTGAAAAATTGGTGCAATCGCCTCATCATTCAACAAAGCTTCCAGCGGGGAACCTGTCGGAAGATGGGCAAGGCTAAATTAACATCATGTTAGACACAGAAGGGATGAGGTGTAATGGAGGGTCATACCATGGTGTCTTACAGCATTTGAAGCATGGCTCTCCTGTTTTAAGCAGCAAGGCATTGCCAATGACGTCCGGAGAAACCAGAATCCTATTCTTCCAATTTAGTCCGTCCGGTAAGTACACCCTCGTCCCAAACTTCAAGCCACCTGTAGTCACGATCCATATTAAAATCAAAAGTTTGTCAGATTAAAATAACGTATAGTTATTCTTCTTTCATATTTTGCAGATCTACCCATTCCAGAGCACATTTAAACGAGAAATAGACGAGAACCACCTTGATCCGTTCCCATCTATCAACAGGCACTCTCCATGACGCCATCCATTTTGAAAATGGCCAAAGAGTATACTCCCATCCTTGGCATAGAATCTTCCCTCGCCATTAGCCTTCCCCTTCCAGAAATTCGCAAACCAACGATCACCACTGTGAAAATAGTACCAACCCTAAAGAGAAGAAGGAAATCTCAGAACTTCACATACAAACTTGAAAGGGAGTTGCAATATTCAAACCAACAAGCAAATACATGGTCAATATTTAATACTCCCTCCGTAAAGAAATATGAGAGCGTTTAGATCACTAAAGTAATGATCTAAACGCTCTCATATTTCTTTGCGGAGGGAGTACTATACAAGATGTTACTATTAGATTTTACCAAGTATACAACTGAGCACATGTTCAGTCACAGTAAGCAATCAAAATCAAGACTCGGAGTCTTCTGATGAAGTCTTGAAACAGGATTTTGGTGCATAAGAAAATAAGGGGAAAACATGCACATATAAGTATGCAAATGAAATTGAAAAGCGAGTATAAATTGTTAGGTAGCAAATCTATCTAAAATGTTCCAACTGTCGCAGGTCACATGGCAATATTTGATTAAACTACCAAAGTATGCCGACATTAAGTGCTTATTTCTCATCAAGTAATCATGAGACTAATCAAATAGAGCATGGAAGAATAAGCATAATCTAACATGGAGAGTGCCTGATTTGATAACCAAATCGAAATTTCTGATATCACCATGTTTCCGATAATTTAACTAGAACATTTCAGAAGTATCATGCACAGATGGCAACTGAGTGCACCCTACCTTTCCATGAATAAGATCGTCCCTCCAAGTTCCATGAAACACATCACCATTGCTGTAATAAAGCGTTCCCAAACCGGATCTCTTGCCATACTTCCAGAGCCCATCATAGATGCTACCATCACTGTAGGTTAAGCGTCCCTGTAGAGAAGTTAAGAAAACAGGATTGGTAATACTTCCGGCCAGCCAACTAGGAGAGATCAAGTGCTTTAATGAGCTTCACCTTTCCTTCAGGGACACCTTCTTGGCATCTCCCTCTGTAAGTCCCTTCTCCAAACTGTATTTCAACTATTGGGCTCCATGTTTTCTCGGGTTCTCTTTCTGCGTGCTACAAGATATATAAGAGATTACAGTTGTCATACAGCAACCCAGGCATGCGAATAAATTTATAGCAAGAGTCTAAAGATGTTAACTTGTTAAGGCTATTGAACATTATCTACCAAAGGCTTAGACCATGCACAGTTCTAGCAATGATAAGCAGCTGTGTCTCAGATATGACTGATAATGAAAAGCTTCCCTGGAGATGGACAACAGTTCCAAAGACAAGTTAAAACGGAGCTTAGTGTACTTGCTTGGGTTTCAAACAAATATTTCATCACAGAAACATTGCTGAGAAAGAAGAACATTAGTTTGTTCAGTATTTTGTGAACCAAATAATAACCAAGTTGTGCTTGCGGCATAAACACCGCTGCCCACCACACACCACAGTGCGCACACATGACTAAATGGAAAACCTATTTCAGTATCACAAAGAGAGAGAAACTGATGAGTCGCCACACCATAGGAAAAAAAAAGGGCAACCTGGTGCATGTAGCTCCCGCTTGCGCAGGGTCCAGGGAAGGGTCATAGGAACAATGGCAAAAATGCAAGGGAACAACTGCAACACATTAGGAGTAGCTCAAGAGGAAACCAGGAGGATGGTTTTGATGCACATTTATCCAATTTGGGTAGGCAAAACCAGGCGTCTGATTTGGCAAAAATACGAAGGAACAACTGCAATACATGATGATGATGAATAGCTGGAGAGGGAATTAGGAGGGTGGTTTTGAGTGCACCCAGTTTGGGCAGGCGAAACCAGACATCCGATTTGATGAACCTACATGCAATAAAAAGATCGTACTAAAAAATGATGGTGGTTCTCATCCTCAAATGTGATGAACAAAACTTAACTTGATTAGGATACACAAGCTATTTGCAGATGAAGAAAATCTTAAGAACAAAACTATACCAGGAGAAATCCAAGATAAGTCTAAATATAAAGAGACAGTGAGGGAGGGACTAACGAGCATCGATGCAGCTCGGCTGGCAGCAGAGCCACGTTTTCGAGATTTATCCATTCTGCCCTTTAGAAATGCCGCTGCAGAACTACATATCTCCATCACTTTCTCCAAACCAACACCAGAAAGTGAGGTTCCAGAGACAGCATGCCCAGTAGATAGAGGTGTGCTATTGGTAGCATTACGGGTTTCAGGCTGTGTATTTGGAGAATGATCATACTGAACCTCAAGAGATTTTACACCAACAGGCAGAGTGATATAATCGAGCTCATTCCTTTTATTGCTTCTACCTGTTGTGGTCCTCTCTTTAGCCCACAATTGTGCAATACCAAAGGCAGGGGCATTACTCCAGAAATTACGCTCCTGTTGTGAACTTGGATCCTCTTGTCAATGAAGAATAAAGTTAGGATGCTCCACCAAAAAAGGCAAAGAAGCAAATAGCAAACCTAGTGCAATCAATTTTACCTCTGCCAACATCTATACTAGTTTCTCCATCAGACTCTAAATTAGCTCCTTTAAACTCTGGATGTATTCTCCCATTATTGTTATCAGATTCCCTAAGAAAGATTGTAATGAACATCAAGTAACTGAAAGTTAAACTAAAGAAGGGATAATATTCACTGGGAAATAAAAAGATGGGTATGTATATTACCTCTCAGATTTGATATATTCTATTTTGTCAGAACGTAAATTAGAAACAGTAGCATCATTAGAAACACTGAAATGTTCTGGCAATCCTTGATCCGCTAAGCTCAATCCAATGTCAGGCAATTGGCTGAATGAGTGATTTAACCGAGCTTGTCTAAGCTCCTGAGTATCTCCTCCCATAAGAGATGATATAAAAGGAAAATGCAAAGCCATGCTCAGAAGAAACCCCTCCTTTACTGAGGCAACATTTTCATCACGGGTATTTCTGGAAACGAACAATGAGCACATTTATCATTTGTTTATATGCTGCTACTTATCTGCATAAACATTGAATAAAGAACTGCAATCCAGACCATAATGCACAATTTTTGTACGTCTCAGTTACACCTTATGAAAAAGATACTACACGAATTGCAATGGTTGTCTGAATGCTATCCCCATTAGAAGAAACAATGAAAACTGGCACCCCTGTTTCTGAATATCCGTCCCCAAGATAATATAGCAAGAAATCCGTTTAATCGCCAAAGCTGGAAAAAACACCAGATACTATACGATGTTTGTACTTTGGGCGGTAAGCTTCTGAATACAAATAGTCTTCATTACTTAATTAAAAGTTGTACAAAAATAGCGATTCAAACCATGAAGAAGTTCTGGAACAAAACCCATGAATCAGTTTGAAGCATCTACTATATATCACCTATTTATCTAACACACAGTGACATGGGCCGGGCAATTTCATACTAGAAGTATGACATTAAAGTTAAAAGGATACTAAGTTTGATATTCCCTGCCAACAAAAAAAATCTGATATAGAAAGTATAAGAAACTGAAGAGGCAATCATGTCTGCTAGAAAGTAATAGATGATTAATGAATATTAAATGTTCTTTTTTCACTCCAAGCTCACAGGTTCAGACTGCTATTCTGTTTTCATCGGATAGTTGAGACATGGCGTAAAAGTATAGGTTGATTGTAGTGAAATATATATAACTTGAAAGATTAACTGAATACTGTTAGACTAACAAAGCATGATTCAGTACATGCATAAGTAGCGGGACTATGTGATTGGACAAGTTAAATGAATGAGACATTAAGAGTCGGCATAAGTATGAATTTTCTCAATCAGGTAAAATTTGTCGTGCAAGAGCTTACCGAATTGTTAGAAGAGAAACTACTATGAGTTTTGGCTCTAGATCAGGTTCAGAATTTCTAGAAAATATAATGTCCTTAGTGAACCCAGTAACTCGACGAAAGATGTGTAGAATGGAGATCATATCACTCTGAGCCAATACCCGGGAAGTTGTAAGCGAGAGAAAAACAACATTGTTCAAGTCCTACATCGAAATATTGTATTACCCAGATCAGTGCCAAGAAAACAGAACATTGCTACAGAAAGAGATAAGTTATGAGCAGGAACAGTGTTCCCCTACAATAGAAATTCATCATAGTTATAAGAAGCATACAAAAATCAAATAATGCATTGCCCTAATAATTCTAATGTGGGAGAGCTCAAAGCCTCAAACAACAGGTTCCCACATGCTTGAGATGAACTGGCTAGTGCAAAGCAAGATTACAAATGTGAACAAGGACCTGACTACATGAGTTGTTTGTTCAGCATATATATTTCCATCATCATACACACCAACATGACCAGTATTATAAGAGAGAAAATAGTATTGGAGATTTCTTTTCTTTTTTCTTTATTAACTGATTAGTTATCTACTACCATATCCAGAATTTGGGAGCATTAGTGCAGGCTTGCGTGAATCGTATACTAACATGCAAAATGTCAGGGGTTGAATACTTGGTTATAGAATTTTCACGGGTGTAGACACACACAATAGACAGTTACCTTTTGCAAGTGATAGCAACATTTACTCTTGGTACGAGTGGGTGCAGATTTAACAGTTCATAGTGTAAATAGAGAATTGTGTGCACCTTTATGCCACCACGAAGAAATGGACAGTGAAGAACAGCCTGTTTAATAGCTGATTGGACATTATAACCAGCACCAAATCCAACCCTAGCTTCCCCATAGCTTTTGAGTAGCTGTTAGAATTGTACAGTGTAAGAATCAAGAAACAAACTCACATGCTGGTCATACCACTGAGTAGTAAGAGAATTCAGTAGATTACTTTGCCTACTTCCTCAGGATCAACTTCCTTAATTTGTGCATCAAGGGAGCTCCAGAACATTTGATTAAATCCCTGATATGTCAAGGGTACGAGATTAGTCAATTAGAATAGTAAAATAATATTTTAGATACAAAGAAAACAGAAAAGAACTTAAGACTCACCGACATCATGATGGATATCATACTAATAGTTGAGAGGACAGCATTATTGGCACTTTCCATAGCTTCAGCAAGAGTTTCCACTTCCGTCTCAAGCAGTGAATCAGCTTCAATAACTGGGGTGGAAAAATACATAGTAATTCGTCAAGATCGTGCACACTTTTCTTATTTATCAAAAATAAAAAAATATATTATAAAGTGCAGCCGGATAGATCCAATCCATTTTAACTACATATCATTTGTTTTGGGCTGTGATTAATGCCAGATGTTGAAGTGTAGTTGATATGATACTAAATTGCACTACAAACTGGCCCTGTTTGATAGCAAAGTATTTTCTATGTATTTTGAGAATACTACAGTTTTTAGGAATACCATGGTTTTAATTACTGTGAGCTGTTTGGCTACAACAAAAAACTCTAGTATTAATACCAAAGTTTTTCCAAAACCTTGGTATTTTCTCTGTATATAAAAAAGAACCTCCGACCTCTTTTTAAAAAACAGAGAAGACGAAAAGAACGTGTGTTATCTTCGACTCACTTCCAACCTGTCACCACAGCCTGTCGTCTTGGTCGGCAGTCATGGACAAATAAAAAGATAACAAAGGGGATGAAAATGGTTACACTGTCCTTCATTGCATCCTCCTGCCTGCTGCTTCCGATTGCCGCTGCTTCAGATTTTCCCTACTGAAGTCATATCATCCCATTGTGTTCCCTACATTACCAGATCCTCATCTAGCGCAGGTGTGTGGGGATTTGGTTTTGTTTTTGCTATGTATGCTGGACTTGCCAGGTCGAGATGGACTAATCATGTCCTTGCTGCACGTGATGGCATGGGTGGTAGTCGACAACTAACTCCTTTTTATCAGTGTAACATCGAGCTTGTGTATGGTGTGTTCATATTGGGTGTTCAGCTAGTGCATGGTCGTACTAGTTTGTGCATGGCTATTCATCAGCTTGCAACTTCCAGCTAGCTAGCAATGAGTGTGTTTGTAACTGCAGCGCATACAAGCTTTTGCCAAACAGGTCCACAGTATTCTGAATACTTCAAAATTTCGTTGTAATGTCAAAACTGTGGTATTTTGTACCTACTTGTTAAATTACTGTAGTTTTTCAATACTTCGCCATCAAACACAGCCTACAAGTTTATAACTACATAATAGAATTTCAAACTACATCAGTAAAAATACATGACTGATCCTTACTACTTTGCTACCTCTAGTACCACAAGAAAAAGTCAACATACTTATTACATAGTGCTACTATATCATCCCTTCTGCAATCCCTACAAAGTGAACCAGAAGCTCATGCTCCCTCGGCTTCTTTTTAGTTTTTGCAAATAAGGGACATATGTATGGCTCGCCTTTTCTGGGTCATGAGCATGTACATAAACTTCAATAAAAACACATAACAAGCTCAAATGTGTCAACCTACTTTTACTATCGTTCTCTCTACAAGCAAAAGGTGGGACGAGCACTATATCAAGATCCATAACAAAGCAAAGATAAAATCCAAATAGAAAGAAAAAAAGTGAAAGCCCTCTTTGAGTATTGTTTTTTTTTCATAAAATATTTGAGTATTGTCAATTTACTTCAGCTCTAGTGCAAAAGTGTTAAAGCATGCTGTAACAGGGAGGCCGGAAAATGGATTACCAATGTGAAAATTCGAGCATGCTTGAAATTTAACAATCAAATCAGATGCCTGCAGAACCAAAAAGTACAACAGTTAATGATAACTTAAAAAGACAACATAATAATCTTGATTTCTTTAAGCAGCCTGTACGGAGCAATGCACATTTCAAAAAATGAAGATATCACTGCACAAATATGCCACCTCCAATTGCCGTCTTTGTCCCTCGAAACAAAAGGGCTTCAAAAATATTGATGCAGCCAGATTATCGGCAGATTTGGTAGCACTGAGAAGCTCCAGTGCAGCAATTTGATCAGCCTCCTGTCCGGCACTTGCAACCTACAGAATGCAATCACTTTAAGATGAAAAATCTTAATCTATCTTAGCCGACAAAATCTGAAAATCAGTAGCAAGATATAGTGTTTGGAAGTTCATGTTAACATATCATCTGCTGTGATCCAGAGGCACCTATATCAGCACCAAAAAGACCAATTTCACCTTCTTGTTCTAAAATGCTCGATCACATTTCCCACAAAAATGTCATTTCATCCCATTATTTGTTAGAAGTGCTTCTCAAAAACTAGTAAGAAACGTGTGGGGGGTATCATTGCATACAACATGGTAAATTGGCAAGTTCACTTGTTGTCCTCTATATACAATTTCTGGATCTAGCTCAGGAGTATTCTCATCTTGGGGGGTAAATTACAATCTTAAATTTACACCAAGAATTGATCCATGAACCAGGACCTCTCTCTCAGGCAAATGAAAACATGAAACATGCTCTGGACAGATACTTGGATTGTTAACAGTTGCCAGACTAAGTATCTTTTCTTGCATTGACCTTGTACTTATGTAGGTATCAAAGTAATTAAACACGACATGAATAGCAGAGATAGTACAGATTTATAGTGAAATTAGCACTATAATGAAATCAGGCAACATGGGTTGAAGCTGTGAAGGTAATTTTTTGTTTCTAAAAAGAATGATCACAGCCAGAACTAGTAACACGACAATACATTATCAAACACAAAAATAAGTCCAAGTTTCTAATATCCAAAGAGCAACTGATGCATACTTAATATTCTGACAAGAACAAGAAAACAATAAATCGCATCAAACAGAGAGATGGGAAGTGTACAAACAATAATAACCGCCGACGGGCAAGGATGAAGAGATAAGGGGCGTTCCAAGTCTCCAACTGCTGTCTCTGAAAATAAAGAACTGCCAGGTTCATGCTAAAAACTAGAAGAGAGGGAATAAAGACATGAAAAAAATGTGTACACGTTGTTGATGCAGAATAAACAATCGGGCGAGAAGAAGGCACAGAAAAGTTGACCTGTATCCCGAATTCTCGGTATGAATTGCACTTCAGAATTATCCACGTGTACTGTCCTGAAACAAAACTACATGTAAGACATAACCGTTTACAAATAAAAGCATGCGAGGGCAAGTTACGAAGTACTGAAAACGACGCACGTGCCTAGCTTTATAAAATTTGATACCATATTGGGCTGCTTGCAGTTCTTTTTATGCTTGGTGTTGAATAAGGGAGGTGCACCATTTTGTTACAAGAAACTCACATCACATGATTAATTTTCACTGCAGAATTTTTACAAGGACTTTCCAATGCATCACCGCATACACCTTTGGAAATGCCTAACGTTGTGACAGGAAGGAAATGTCCTCCTAATTAGTTGTCTAACGTTGTGACAGACAGGCATGCCACTCCATAGTTATTGTAACCAAAACACTACACTAGGTTGCTACTGTACTAGTGTGAAACCGAAGCCACACACTAAATCGTCATCGGCATTGTCTGAAGGAGAATGCAAAATGGTCCGGCGGTTCCACATTTTCAAAAAATTAACACTGGCATTGCTTCAAACAAGGATTACGCCCAAATCCCAAACCACATTGCGCTGCAGCGCGAGGGTTCCAGTGCGGTACCAGAAGCGGATCGGGGTGGAGGAGAGGGTGCGCAAGCCGAGGCAGAAGTCGATGACGGCGTCCTTCCGGCTCCCGACGCCCACCACCTCGACGGGCTCCACCGCAGCCGCGCGGACCCTGGGGAGGCGACGGCGGCGCCTCCGCGGGGACGGGGCGAGGCAGCGCGGGGAAGCGAGCGGAGGCGGGAGCGGGACTACCAGGCCGCCTCGCACTGAAGCCGCCATGGACGAAGAGGAGGCCAGCACTGGGCGGCGGTGGGCTTGGAGGCCGTACGCTGCGACGGCGTGCGTGCGGCGGCTGGTGTGAGCCGCCGGTGAGCGGTGACGCGAAGCGAAAATGGAAATCGTTGGACGTTAGTGCTCTCTGACTGTGCTTGTGATACTGGGCCGACATGTTTGTTGTTAATCCTATCTTGTTCAAAGCGGGCCTACTGTATATATGGGCCAGTCACGAATTTGGAAAAACATGTTTACGAGCCCAGATGTGAATAAGATGGGCTAGCTCTCTACTTGATGGCCCATGTGTAGATGGGCTAGTCAGGAAAAACGAACCAAATAGACTGCCAATCAAGCGAGCCACCAGGTTTGAGAATAAGGTTATCCCTCAAAAAAAAAAAGGTTTGAGAATAAGGTGGGATCCAAGAATGTAGTGGCTGGTGAATCACTGATCAAAAAGCGGATTTTTGAGAGATTCTACATTGATCTAGTGGCCAGTGAGGTGTGTCGTTCCGAGCGGTGGAGGACAACCTGTTTGTTGTTACAGTTTTCTGCCTTGCGACTGGCACAAGCTCATGGAAGAAGGGTGGTCGCCAGAAGGGCGCGGCTAGTTGGGCTCGGCTCATTTTGCTTTCCTCCTTTTTCTGTTAGAATAGAAAGAAAGAGCACGCCGTGAAGGATTCGAACCTGCAACCTCCTTGTTGAAGGTTGGCTGCTGTAACCACCCCGCCAAACAGCATGGATGTGCTAACCTTTTAACCTATGTGTCTTCTATTTGTTCTTTTTTCCTTTCTTTTGTTTTCATTTTTTCCTTTTTTATTTTCAGTTTTTTTATTTTTTTTCCTGGCCGATGAATTGTTTGCAAATATGTGAAGTTTTTTTTAATTGATGAACTTTTTTTCAAATCGATGATTTTTTTGTCAAAATCCATGAACTTCTTTTGAATTTCGGTGAACGTTTTTTCAAAATCAATGAATTTTTTCAAATTGATTTGATTTTCTTTGTGGTGAACTTTTTTTCAAATTTCGGTGAACTTTTTTTGAATTTGATGATTTTTTTGAATTTTATGAAATTTTTTGAGAATTGTTGAACCTTTTTTTAATTCATGAACTTTTTGTAAAATTTTTGAACCTTTTCCCAAAATCCATGAACATTTTTGAATTCACGAATTTTTCAATTTTTTTTCTTTTTTCCGGTTTTTCATACTTTTTCCAGTTTTTTGTATTTTGTAATGGTCAACCGCACTCTACATGGGCCGGCCCACGAGGAGGGGCGCTTGAGGCGCCGGTTCCCCAAGTGGCATTGAAGGCGCCACATAGGAGCTCCCTATATATCTCGACAATTCCATCTGTTCGATCTCATATATGGAGGAAATCCTTATGCGTTAGCGCTCGAGGATTGATTGGCTGTCGGATGGCAATAGAAACACAAAGTTCTTCCAACAACGTGTGAGCATGTGAAGGCAGAAAAACATAATAAAAGAGTTGACTCTTGGTGATGGAACCACCACGTCGGACCCGGAGGAGCTGGAAAATCTGACAACCTTCTTCTACAAAGATTTGTTCTCGGATGAAGGCACTTTGGGGATGGAAGACGTCAATGATAAGGTTCTAGTTAAAGTCACAACTATGATGAACGATCAACTACTTGCTCCCTATTCTAATGATCAAGTGAAAACGGCCATCTTCCAGATGTTCCCAACAAATCTTCAGGTCTGGACGGGTATCCCGCACATTTTTTATAATGCAACTAGAATCTCGTGGGAGAGGAGGTCAGTGATATTGTTATGAGAATATTGCGTGGGGAAGAGGGTGTTCAAGTGCTTAATGAGAAAATCTTGTTTCGTATACCGAAGGTGGCTAACCCTACTCTCCTCTTAGTTCCTTCCTATTAGCCTATGCAATGTCCTCTACAAAATTGCTTCCAAGGTGGTATCTAATCGTCTGAAGCTCATTTTGCCCAAGATTATTTCCGAATAGCAATCCGCCTTTGTTCCAGACCACCTGATCACTGATAACATTATCTTAGCATATGAATGTTTGCACTTGATGAAGAGAAACACAACTAAGTAAAACTGGTTATGTGCTCTAAAACTGGATATGATGAAAGCCTACGACTGAGTCAAGTGGAATGAAGGCTATAATGGAAAAGTTGGGGTTTGCACTAGCTTGGATCTCTCTGATAATGGGGTTGGTAAGCTCTGTTAAATTTTTGGTTTTGTTTGATGACAAACTTGAGAAGTTTAAACTTACGTATGGTATCCATCAAGGGCAACCTATTTTTTATATTTGTTTTTGTTGGCAACGGAGGACCTTTCATGCCTCTTAAAAACAAATTCGCAGTCATCACACCTTAGTGGCATAAAAGTGGCTCAGTCAGCTCCGTTGATGAGTCTTTGCTTTTTGTGGATGATAGTCTGCTATTCTTCAAGAAAATGGTGATGGAATGCTATTGTAAAGCTTTGGAACATAAAATAAATTTGGCCAAGTCTTCTACCTTTTTCAGCAAGGGCTGTCCCGAGGTACTAAGGAATGAGGTGAAGCAAATCCTTGGGGTACCAAATGAATCTCTCTCTCTCTCTCTCTCTCTCTCTCTCTCTCTCTCTCTGAAAAAATATTTGGGAATGTCGTCAGATGTTGGTAACCCAAAAACTGAAGCCTTTAAATACTTGGGAGATAGGGTAGGGAACATGGTCAAGGGTTGGATGGAGAAACTTCTTTCAGCTGGTGGAAAATATGTGTTGATCAAGTCAGTTGCACAACCGGTCCCAATATATTCTATGTCTAGTTTCAAATTGCCTCGAGGTTTGTGTCAACACATCAACTCATCTTCTAAAAAACACATCAACTCATTAATCTGCAAATGTTGGCGGGGAAGCAAGTAAGGTGAAAGGAAAACAACCTTGGTGTATTGGGATGTCATGACTAAGCCAAAATTATTGGGAAGCTTGGAGACATAGAAATTTTTAATCTTGGTTTATTAGCTCTCCAGGATTGGTACATCCTACAAAATCTAGGTTCTCTTAGCGCTTTTATCGTCACAGCAAGGTACTGTCCAGATTCCGAGTTCTTGCAAGCCCAACTAGGCAATTCACCTTCTCAGATTTGGAGAGTAATAGTTGAAGGAAGAGATGTGCTTTCCCAAGGCTTGATTCGTAGAATTGGCAATGGCCAAACGACAGATATATGGAGGGACGACTGGATACCTATTGATTACAGTATGATGCCAAGCACTTGTCTCGGCCAAGACCCACCACGTCGAGTAAGTGACCTCATCTTACCAAATGTGATGAACTGGAACACGGAACTAATCTAGAACACCTTCATACAAGTTGATGCCTAGGCGATTCTAGCTATCTCACTTTGTACCAGGTAGGTTCAAGATTTTTTGGTATGGAATTATGACTGCGGAGGTATCTTTCCGGTGAAGTCTACTTATAGAATGATAGTCTCGACCAAGCACTGATGTGAGGCGTGGCTTGATGGTCGGGCGGACTCATCAAACTCCAAGCAAGTGAAACAGACGTGGTGCAAGTTGTCGAAAGTGCAAATTTTGTCAAAAAAATTAGAATCTTCCTACGGAGTCTTGCACAAGAGTCCATCCCACGTGCAGACCCGTTTTATCATCGCAACATGGCAATCACTAGCAACTGCGCCCTTTGTTGGGCAGATGATTCTTGGAAGCATTCCCTTATGGATTGCACCATGTCACAATGCGTCTAGGCTTTAGCTGACCAGGACCTAGTGGAAAAGATGAACCAAATGAGGGAACCTGATGCCAATCATTTGATATTTTTCTACTGGATTCATTGCCACATCCAGACTTTGTCCGAGTGCACGTGACACTATGGGCTATATGTCATGCTTGGAGGAAGGCAATATATCACTGTTAGGAAACAAGGCATCAGTCCTGGTTCCAAAGGGCCTTTAGTCCCGGTTCTGCAACCTGGACTAAACAATCGGGACTAAAGGGCTCCACGTGGCCGCTGTGGGGCGCCCAGGCAGGAGGACCTTTAGTCCTGGTTTGTAACACCGACCGGGACTAAAAAAGGCAGCCACACGTCAGCAGCTGCAGGCGCTGGGATTTTTGTTTTTTTAAGGAGGGGTTTAGGGGTTTTCATATTGTGTTTCCCCTTTTTATTTTTGTGTTTACCCTTCAATTCTTTTACATTTAGGGTTTCATTTTTATTTTATATTTTCCATTCAACTCGACGCTAGCTACTACATATAGCAACGAAGGAACCATTACACAACATCGTCATGAACATATATAGAGAGAAGTGACCTCTCTTTCTCTGTGCTTGGCCGAACAACAAGTTTTCGTATATCTATCCGGCGCTACTACATATAGTACACGATCATGCATATATACAATATAACATCTCTTAAGATCCCTAACATCTACCAAAATCGCATTGCAATTCCCAATGGTATTCTCCATCTGTAGGTATGACGTGCTCAACAAAGAATCTCGCCAATTCCTCTTGAATTGCTCTGATGCGATCATTTGGTAGGAGTTTGTCCCGCTTCTCTTAGATCTAATTTAAAGAAGGGGTCAATACATATATATGAATGAAACTCAACACAATTGATGGTAATAAAATAAAATAGTGAAGATTTTTTTACGTACTTCAAATTGACGTGAAGATCTGCCCCGCTCAAAGGTTGAGTGGCAAATGAACTCGCAAACGTGGTATCCACATAAATTATTCCCGGGTGCCTGCCACAAGCACTTTACGAGAATAGAGTTCAATCAAAATGATAATCAAGCATGATAATGGTATTCAAATTAGAATCAATGAGAGATGTGCGGAACTAGCTAATACGACTTACTTTGGGGTGTGAAAATCGCAGCTCCTTTTTCCATTCACCCGGTACCTTGCTGGTGAACTTTTTCCAAACCTTGCCCAACAAAGAAAATGATTACTTGATATCAGGAAATGAACAAAAGTTGCCAATATGGTGCGATAATGATTGAACTTACTTCTAAAGCATTTCACTGATGTCCGC